AGCATAATGCCTCCAGGATTCAATGTGAATAGTTGCATGTGTCAGTCCACCACAATTTGTTTGTGTTCACTGAAGGGCAGCTGGGTTGTCTCCAGGGTGGGACTATGATGACCAAAGCTGTCATAGTCCTTAACAGTTTGGTGTGGGAAGGCAGTGGGGAGTCAGGGGAGGCTTACGGGGGGAGTATCAGGAGACAGACTGGTGGGAACATGAGGTTAAAGAGATAATTATGTATATTGGGCCCACTATGCTGACCCCCACATGCTTTCATTTTTAAAAAGCAATTTACCTGAAGCCCTGCCTTAAGTCCACAGGATAGGTTACACTCCTCAGCAAACTACCTATTATTTACAGGAGAAATACAGGCCCCAAAATGCTGATAAGAAGAAAACAAGTTACGCTGAAAGGGGAGACTTCTGTAATCCTTACACAGACCATATCCCCAAATTCAGGGAGATAAGGATAATTCCCCCTAACCATAAAATCCATAAGAACAGGCTCCAATTAGAATCGGTCAGCATGGGCTAAAGTGACCTAGAATTGTCACAGCAGTGGGGACTTGAAAGTCTGATGTCATCTTCTGTTAGCTGAAAGTCTGGACATGTGTGGGACTCTCTGGAAACTTCCTTGGGACCCCAATAAAATTTGAGGGCAAGAGAGGTACACAGTCTTTCTCTCTGAAAAGACCCACTGTCTCCCTTGACAGTGTCCCCTTTTCCCCTTTCCTAATCCTTCTAATAAATTCATGCCTGTTACTTTGAGTGACATGTCTGAAATCTTTCTGTCATGATTGAAAGAATCAGGGTGAGCCAGGCATGGTGGTCCATGCCTATAATCCCAACTGCTCCCGAGGCTGAGGCAGAAAAATCGCATGTTCAAAGCCAGCCTCAGCAACTTAGTGAGACCCTGTCTCAAAATAAAATATAAAAAGGGCTGGGGCCAGGTGTGGTGGCACAGGCCTTAATCACGGCAGCTGGGGAGACTGAGGCAGGAGGATCATGAGTTCAAAGCCAGCCTCAGCAACTCAGTGAGACCCTGCCTCTAAATAAAATACAAAATAGGGATGGGGATATAGCTCAATGGTTGAATGCTCAAGTTCAATCTCTGGCACCCCAAAAAAAGGGCTGGGGATGTGGTCTCAATGGTTAAGTGCTCCTAGGTCCCAGTACCAAAAAAAAAAAAAGAATCAGGAAAGGGGCCTTCACATTGCCTCAATTTCCCAGAAGTCCCCAGCATCGTAACAACTGGAGGAAAAGTAACAGCAGTGGGTGATGGACATATTTTGGGGGTATTCAGCACCTTAGTTGTGATAGTGGCTTTCTAGGTACATACTCATATGTCAAAACATCAAATTGTACACTTTAGATATGTGACCAGTATATCTCATTTTAGAAGCTAAGCAAGGTCAGAACTGGTTAGTACTTGGAGGAGAAATACATGTACAAGTTTTTTGCTGTTGTTGTTTATTTGTTTGTTTTTGGTACAGGGTCTTGCTATGTTGCCTAGACTGGACTCAAACTCCTGGGCTCAAATGATACCCCTGCCTGTCTCCTGAGTAGCTAGGACTACGGGTATCCCATCACACCTGGCTTAGACAGTATTTCTTGTATGTCAATTACACCTCAATTATACCTCAATAAAAACACAAAATAAAAAAATAAAAGGGCTGGAGTATAGCTCAGTGATGGAGTGACCTTGGGTTCAATACCATGAATAAATAAATCTGTAAAATATGTGATCAATGGCCTGTATGAATGTGTTCAGTGCCTTGATTGTGATAGTGACTTCATTAATCATGCTTACAAAAATGACTACCTGTGAACTTATCAAATTAATCAGAAGCACATGGATGCACGGGTACATCAAACTCATACTGGAAAAACCAGACCCAGGAGCTTATCGAACATTCCAGGCCACCAAACGAAACAACCCTCTTACCCATAAAAGGAGGAGTACCCCAAGATTGAGCATAGCAGTACACTCTCCCATCACCAGGTGACCCTGCCCGCTCTGGATGTTCATGACACAAGATTCTCCAGGCCTGGGTCTGACCTTCCCAACAATCCCTATCCTTCATCAGAGCATAGGGCCTGCACACAACTGTCTACTATTCCACTGCCCATGTGACAAGTACCAACTCACCTTTGGCATTTCTGCCCAGTGAAGTGCAGTAAGGGCTCCCCAAGGACACTCCATTTGGGCACCTGCACCTGTTGCTCCCTGGCTGATCCCCAGATGGCTCTCATCCATTGTACTGCCATTGATTTTTTTAAAATCTGCTTCTGATAATTCACTGAGGCAAGAGGACACCTCTGTAGCCTGGGTCCCACGTGCCCAGCACTGGGCCTGGCCCAAGGCAGACACTCAGCACCTGGGTCTCAGATTGGCTCCTCCTAGAAAGCTCTGACCAAGTTCCAAAGTTTTTCCATGGCCTTTGACCCTTTAAGGGTGTCAGTCACCCCGTTTCCGTCTCTGCTCTGACCCTGTCTCCTCCCACTTTCATGCCATCTGCCTTGCCAGTCCTCAGAAGTGCCAGGAGTGTTCCCACTGGGGTCTTTGTACTTCCTTCTGCCTAAAGTCTCTTCCACATTAAACTTACTAGGTTCCTTTTTTACTGATTCAGGCCTCTGCTCAAAATATTACCTTTGTGGGGATGTCTCCCCTGACTCGAAGTAGCTTCTTCCCATCTGTCCCTCTTCCAGGCTGCTCTACTTGATCTTCAGAGTACTTACTGCTACCTGGCTTTCAAGGAGAAGTCTACACATCCCATGCCAAGAGAAATCAACTCCATCTGTGCTGAGGGCAGGGACCTGGCGAAGCCATTTACTTCCTGCTCTTTCTGAGTAAGACATCTGGTTTAGTGTGCAGTAAGAAGGATTTAGGATAGATGGGGAATATGCCTCTGTTCTCTCAGATATCACAACAGCGATCACTCTGTCAGATGGTCTGTCTTCCTCATCACAGGGTTGATCAGTAAGGTCTGGTTTGTGTGTTATTTCCACCATGGGTCTGGAACTAATGAACAGATAACTAACTGCTGAGAATAAATGAATGGATTGGAGTCAATCCATTCATCCAGCAAATGCTTATTGAGCAACCACTATGTCTCCCGCACTTTTTAGGGTGCTGGGCCTACAAAGTGACAGTCTCTGACCTCACACTTTAGTTTGAGACACAAGTAATTACTGTTGAGAGAAGCAATCTGCTATGGTTCCTGAGAATCCCTGCATGTTTCTTGCTTGGTATGCCAAGAAAGCAAGATCCTGATAGCTGTTTAAACAGGTCATTTCTTAGGGTTGTGTTCGAAGAAAAGAACCCTTAAAGGATGAGGTGCTCTCCTTGGACAAAGAACAGGAATGCCTACCACTTACTGTCAGAATCCATGAAATAGTAATGCATTACTTTTTGTTTTGTAAGTGGGATAACACCTCAGCTACAGGGAAGTTTTAGACAATGACATGTGAAGTGGAGATTAGTACTACAGAGAAAATGGAGAAGAAAAAAAAAAAGAGGGATTGTGGGGATGGGGATGAGGATGTAGTGGTTGAGTACTTGCCTAGCATGCAATGTAGCTGAGTGGTAGAGCAATTGCCTAGTATGTGTGAGGCCCTGGGTTCAATTCCAAACACTGAACAAAACAAAAGGAGGGGGGATAAAGAGTATGGAGGGGCTGCTGTTCTGCAATTTTCTTTCTTTCAGATCTGGGGATTGAACCCACAGTCTAATGTTTGCTAGGCAAATGCTTTACCACTAAGCTACAACCCAGCCCACATGACTTACAATTTTAAATAAGGTCTTTATGAAAGGCCTTTCTGTTAAGATTAAATTGAAGCAGAAATATAAATAAAATAAGGCTGAGAAGCAAACCATGTGACTACTGGGGAGAAGGGCATTTCAGCCAAAAGGAACGGCAGAGACAACAGTCCTGAGGTAGGAGGTGACTTGGAATGTCTGAGGAACGGCATAGTGACTGGTGTGGTTGGGAAGACGTGTTGGAAGGAAAAGAACAAAAGAAGAGATCAGGGAGATTGTCAGGGACCAGAACACAATGGGCCTGGGAGGTCATTTCAGGAGCTGGCGCAGCACCAAGTGAGATGGGTACCATTGGGGCAAGGTTTGATCAGTGATCTGTCCATTTTAAAAGGGTGACTGCAGCTTGGAGAATAGATGGCAGCCCTGGGGATCTGAGTGAAAGCAGAAGGCCTGTGAGAACGTGTCACAACAGTCCCAGCACAGACGACGGATGAGTGACTCCGTGCTGGTCACGGCAGAAGAAGTATTGAGAAGTGGTCAATTTCAGATATATTTTAAGATTAGAATCAAAAAAAAATGTTTTCGGATTGAACAAGGGGAGTGAAGAAGAGTCAAGAGTGACCCCAAGGACTGGGGATGTGGCTCAAGCGGTAGCGCGCTCGCCTGGCATGCGTGCGGCCCGGGTTCGATCCTCAGCACCACATACCAACAAAGATGTTGTGTCCGCCGAGAACTAAAAATAAATATTAAAAATTCTCTCTCTCTCTCTCTCTCTCCTATCTCACTCTCTCTTTAAAAAAAAAAAAAAAAAAAAAAAAAAAAAAAAAAAAAGAGTGACCCCAAGCTTTAGTTCTGAGCAACCACAGGAATGGAGTCAGCTGAGATGGAAAAGGAGCAGGTCTGGAAGGAGTCAAGAGTGCCTTCAACAAGCACGAATGAACAAAAGGCCTGTCCAGAGCCTTAGATACCTGGGACCAATGAGGGACCCTTAGAAAAGAAGGTAGCGCGCCAGTAACCCCAGCAGATGGAGAGTTCAAAGCCAGCCTCAGCAAAAGCGAGATGCTAAGCAACTCAGTGAGACTCTGTCCTTAAATAAAATACAAAATAGGGCTGGGGATGTGGCTCAGTGGTCGAGTGCCCCTAAATTCAATCCTAGGTACCAAAAAAAAAAAAAAAAAAAAGAGGTAGTGGTTCCTTTAAGAATGCCCCGCCCCTTCCCGCGAAGCCCCGCCCAGAGAGGACCACGTGTTTCCCCGCCACGAATTACCGGAGAATCTCAGCACGGTTTGAAAGTTCCGCGCGCAAAGCGAAAAGGGCATTTCGGCTGCGATCGAGATGTCGGTGTTAAGGCCTCTGGACAAGCTGCCCGGCCTAAACACGGCCACCGTCTTGGTAGGTGTCGGCGAGGGGGACTCGCCCACCCGTTTCCCCGGTGGGCCTCCCTCCCCTGCCTGCCTTGAGCCCCCTGGCTTCTGCGCTCTCTGATCCGGGGCGCGCGGTTTTCCTCGCTGTAGGCGGGAGAGCCGTGCTCTGAACCAATCGGAGTAGCCGCTCTCCGAGGCTGAGGGACACCTGCACCAATCGATGCGCGGCGTAGTCTTTCCCAGCTTGTGATTGGTGGGGCGGGTGGGCGGAACCCGGACGCCGGGTAGAGCCCCTTGCTGGTTCTTTCACTCAACCTAGGCTCTGGCCTCAGGTCGAGGTCCGGCGGTCCGAGGGACTGTGGGAGTGGGCAGTAGGTGCGGTGCCCACAGACCTGGAGCTGGCCTAAATTTCAGACCCCTGCAGGGACCCTCCTGTCGGGAAATGGTCCCCTCCGAGCTACCTTCGGGCTGTGGCCTGATCCCCCAGGGAGGGGCTCACCGAGCCGGGTTCTGCGGAGGAATTGTCCTGCCCAGGTCTCACCCCGATTGCTTTCTCTCCCTGGGCAGCTGGTGGGCTCGGAGGATGCTCTCCTGCAACAGCTGGCGGACTCGATGCTCAAAGAGGACTGCGCGTCTGAGCTAAGGGTGTAAGTAGCTGAGGCTCTGCGGGAACTCTGGCTGGGAAAGAGGGAGAGGAAAGGGAGCCTCGGAGGGGGCTCCCAGCCGCCTGTAGTCCTCACTGAGCCTGCCTTCCTCCCGAAGCTGACTGCTCACGTCTTTACCTCGCTTGTTCACACCTTGCACAGGACCCACTTGAGCACCCCGTCCATCACTCTCTGTCGCAACACTTGTTGCTTTGCTCTTAGTACCGGTCAACACAAAGGATCTCCTGGCCACCTGTTGGTTCACTTGTCTGCCACCCCCATGGACCTTGAGCAGCAACTGGCACGGAGTAGATGCTCAATTAATAATTGCTGAATTAATCGGGTTAATTCAAGTTTCAAGAAAGATTTCCAGGGCGCGGTTGTGCACACCTGTAATCCCAGCCAATCTGGAGGCTGAAGCGGGAGAATCCAAAGCTAAACACCAGTCTAAGCAACTTAGAACCTGTCTCAAATTTTAAAATTTTTTAATAAAGGGAAGAAGATATAGCTCTGTGGATTCAATCCCTAGGAGGGAGGGAGGGAGGGAGGGAGGGAGGAAGGAAGGAAGGAAGGAAGGAAGGAAGGAAGGAAGGAAGGAAGGAAGGAAGAAAATTTTGAAGGGTAGGGAATGCTACAAAAATGTATGAGGGTAGTGAAATAGAAGGTAAGAAGCTGAACCATAAAATTATCTTCTCCAAAAAACCTAGTGAAATGAATTGAAAATTAGCAAAAATGAGCAAACTTAACAGGCTGAAAAAAATTCTGTCATGTTTTGTCTGCTAACCCTGCTACTCCCACAACAAAATTATCAAAATTCTTTAGTACCCCAAGTTTGGAGAAAAGGTTACTAAAGAAATTCATTTTTGTTTCCTTTTTCTAACTGGAAGGAAGCAGAAATAGCTGCTGTTTACATCAAGTGACTGAAAATGTGTGTCATTCTCCCTGATAGAAAGATAAGGCCCAGGATCTGTGTTGAAGGAAAATGGTTCAGATCCAGAAGGTAATTCCTCAGTGGGAACTGGAATGTCTTTTACTGGGCAAAATAAACCCTGCAACAGCACTTTCAAAAATCTCTGATGAGGGAGTATGATCTTTTCCCTCTGAATAGATTGTTTACAGGTCTGTCTGTCTGCATCTCACCAAGCTTTTCACTACAGAACATAAAATACAGCAACCCACAATCTCAAATGGAAAAGGAATTTTTTTTTTTTTTTGTACCAGAGGTTGAACCCAGGACCACTTAACCAGTGAGCCACATTCCCAGCCCTTTTTTATATTTTATTTTGAGGCAGGGTCTCGCTAAGTTGCTTAGGGCATTGCTAAGTTGCTGAGGCTGGCTTTGAACTTGAGATCCCCCTGCCTCAGCCTCCCAAGATGCTGCAATTACTGGTGTGCAACACAGCAGCTGCTGGAAAAGGATTTTTTTAAATGCATTTACCCAGAGGCTGGAGTTGTAGCTCAGTGGTAGAGTACTTGCCTAGCAGATATGAAGCAAGTTTGATTCTCAGCACTGCATATAAATAAATACATAAAGGTCTATCAACAACTTAAAAATATATTTTTAAAAAATTCATTTAGCCTGGTGTGGTGATATGCACCTGTGATCCCAACTACCTGAGAGGCTGAGGCAGGAGGATTGTTTGATCCCAGGAATTCAAGGCCAGCCTGGGCAACATAGAGAGCTCTGAGTCTGAAAAAATAAACAAAAATAAAAATCCATTTAATTATTATCAGGGTAAATGGAAAAATACAGTAAAAAGAATCTCCTACATTTAATAAGAACAAGTGGAAAAAGGTCATGAGAATCGTGGGGGAGGGGCAAGTTACATGGCATACAAATATCCATGAAGAACCCACTCTGGAAAAAATACAGGAAAAGGAGTTGGGCACAGTGGTGCACACTTGTAATCCTAGCAGCTCGGGGGGCTGAGGCAGGAGGATTGTGAGTTGAAAACCAGCCTCAGCAACAATGAGGAGCTAAGCAACTCAGTGAGAACCTGTCTCAAAAAAAATATAAAATAGTGCTCGGGATGGATGTGGCTCAGTGGTTGAGTGCTCCTGGGCTCAATCCCCAGTACACCCTCCCCACCTCAAAAAAAATACAAGAAAATGAAAATAAAATTCCCCTTTTAGTGCTCTGGTCAATTGAAAAATTTAATAATAAAGTTAATTTTTTAAAGAAATATTCATTTGGGTGCTATGGCACACACCTATAATCTCAGGACCTCAGGAGTCTAAAGCAGGAGGATCTCAAATTCAAGACCATCCTAGGCAACTTAGACCCTGTCTCAAAAATACAAAGAGCTGGGGATGTAGCTTAGTCATGCCCCAAGGATTGATCCTCTGAACCACCGAAAAGAAAAAGAAAGAAATATACATATATTAATTGGAAAAACAACAGAAAGAGGAACTGGGAAGCTGAGGAGCTAAGAGTTAAAAAAGGGCCAAAAAATGATACTGTTTGATCTAGCTAACGAATACCTGGAGACAGGATCCGAGTAGATTTACAAAGAAGAAAGGTTTGAGAAAAATAGCAAAAGCATCCAACGATATAACAGTATTTTCTGAAGTGAATGAAAAGTTGAATTTGTCCATTAAGAGGGTGATGTATTCTTGTTACAGGTAAAATGGATGTAGAATACAGAATACTTGACATCAAGTTATATCCTAGTTACGTTATCAAACTCAAAGAGTAAATAATTCTTCAGACTTTTAGGCTAGAAAAGCAAATCATCAGGACTGGGATTATGGCTCAGTGGCAGAGAGCTTGCCTCGCATATGTGAGGCACTGGGTTTGATCCTCAGCACCACATAAAAATAAAATAAAGATGTTGTGTCCACCGAAAACTAAAAAACAAATATTAAAAAAATTCTCTCTCTCAAAAAAAAAAAAAAAGAAAGAAAGAAAATCATCTGTATAGTCATCTATTCACACTGTGGCCACATATTTCCAGGTCTCAGTGTTTGCAGCCTGTGGCAGTAATTAAGATTGTACTTCTTGTCTCATGTGGTTGTGGGGAGCTATGTGACTGGTTCTGGCCAATGAGATGCGCACAAAAATGAGTGTCTCTTCAATACTGCAGAATTTAATTGCTAGTACAAGAATTCCCCTGACCCTTTGCCTCCCCATCACGACCAGCAACGTTCCAAAGTGGCAGCTTCATCAGCCTGGGTCCAGACTTAGAGCAAAACATAGGTGTATGTAGTAACTAACAACAGTGATATCGAGGCATAAATATGCATTCATAATGTCCAAATGGTAGGATAAGATGTAAGAATGTTAATTTTCTCACTTTCCATAATAGAGAATCAATCCAATATAGATAAAATTGAAACAGTTTAAAATGGTGGCAATTAGCCCAGCACAGTGGCATTCACCTATAATCCCAGTGACCCCTAGGAGGCCAAGGTAGGAGGATGGCAAATGGCAAATTTGAGGCCAGCCTGGGCAACTTGGCAAGACCCCGTCTCAAAATAAAAGGGCTTGTGGTATAGCTCAGTGGTAAAGTATCCCCGGGGTCAATCCTCAGCTGCCTCCCCCTACCTTCGCCCTGACAGATGATGTCAGCTTCTTATTTTTCTTCACAGCCTGTTTTTATTTACTTATTGTTTTATTTTGCAGCAATGGGGATGCAAGTTAGGGCCTTGCATCCTACTATGCTAGGCAAGTATTCAGCCCCTGAGCCACATCCTCTGTTGCATACTCTTTGATTCAGCTCTTTTAGGGAACGGTCTCTTTTGATTATAGAAATAGCCTCTCCAAAGTTCATCTACTTTTTTCATTTCTGCTTGTTTTTTTGCTTCTGTTCAATTCAAGTTAAATGAATGCTATTATTCCATTTTTAGATTATATCTACACTGTTGTCTAAATGTATATATATTATGTAGACATGTTTGCCAAAATGTTCAAATACTAATTTCTAGGTGACTGACTTCAGGGTATATGTGAATATTTTAAACTAGTATTTTTTGTGATTTTTGCTTTTCTCCATTTTCTAAATTATAGTCTGGTGAAGGGTGAAATGGGTAATAGAAATATGTGGAAATGGGCAAAAGTAGAGACTTCAAGAAAAACCTTCAGGGCAGTGGGCACAGCTCATCGGTGGAGCACTTGCCCAGCATGCTCTTGGCCCTGAGCTCCTTCCCCAGCATCAAAAACGAAACCCAGAGGCCAAGCCCAGATGTAAATTACTTGCCCGGGGTCACATTAGCTTGGCAATTGACAGAACTAGGACTTGTGCCCACATCTGCCTCAAAAGGGGTTCAGTCTTAACCTCCTAAACTTTATAGCCCAACAATCTCTTCTGAGACTGGTCTCCCTCAAGACACAGTGACCTCCCAAGCCCTGCACCATGTGCCATGTAGCTTAGCAGGTCTTTTCACCATGGTGCTTACTAAACAGATCTCTTTTCTAGCATGTGGAATCAGACAGGAGGGAATAGGTAGGACTAGATTTATCTTCCTCTGTTCCTTCAAGAAGTCTTGCCTGGCTGGGTGTGATGATGCACCCTGTAATCCCAGCAGCTCAGGAGGCTATGGTAGGAGGATCATAAGTCTGAGGCCAGCCTCACCAACTTAGTGAAACCCTGTCTCAAAATTTAAAAATGGAAAAAAGTTTGAGGATGTGGCTCTGTGGTTGAGTGCCCTGGGTTCAGTTCCCAGTGCCAAAAAAGAGAAGTCTTGCCTGCAGAGTGTCAGGTGAACAGGTGAGGAGCGCTTGGCGTCTTCTTCCCCTATGAAGGACAGCACGTGACAGTCACTGTAAGTGGATATGTTTGTGTTTAATGCTCTGATTTCTTGTTTTTCAGTCACTTGGCAAAGGCCCTCCCTTTACCCTCCAATGTGAATCGGCCTCGAATCGACCTGATTGTGTTTGTGATTAACCTTCATAGCAAATACAGGTAGGAACCAGAGGACATGAGCCCTGGGGACCCGGCCGACCTGCCTGGGAGTGTGCCGGGACAGGGACCTTACTTGCCATAGGCAGGGAGGAAGCAGTGAGAGGTTGGCCAGGGTCAGCGTAGAGGGCAGAAAGGAGGAGCCAGTGGACAGTGCCCAGTGTTTAACCCACAGATCCTACCATGTCCTCTGTTCATTCAGCCCTCTGAAAACTACTCTGTATACCCAGCGGCAGGCACAGAAACAGACAAAACAGACTGCTTTCCTCAGGTGTCCTCGTCTACTGGGAGGACACTGGACTTTTGAGAGAACAGTTAGAGTTCTGGGGACATGGACTGTAAAGAGGCAGGAGCTGGGCTTGGAGCCCACGCAAGACCTCTGACGGCCAGGCCTTAGGTGTGGGAGGCCAAGGCAGACCTTTTGGTGGACACCTGAGGTCAGTCAGGTAAAGATGGGAGCGAGCCCCTCCAGGGGCACGGCTGGCTGAGGTTAGGCAGGGCCGGGTCCAGCACAGACACCTAGTGATGTGGGGGTTGAGGGAAGGCCGTGTTGGGGACACCTGGGAACCCAGGAGCATGAAGATGGCAGATATCCTGGCATCAGGAGAACGTCTGGACCTCGCAGCCAGCTCCTTGGAACTAGTCAGCATGGGAGGAAGGAAGGAGTTGAGAACTAGCATGGTTACCTTCTAACGGGGAGGGATGGGAGGCCACCTAACTGCTCATCACTGGGAAGGTAGGACGGGGTGCGCTGTGTGCTCACGCTGAAGGACCTAGCAGTTCCATGCATTTGTATGAGTCGGTGTTGTATCACTGCAGCAAACGCCCAAGACAGTTCCAGGCCCAGGGTACACACCTGTAATCCCGGCTACTTGGGAGGCTGAGGCAAGAGAATCACAAATTCAAGGCCAAACTAGGCAATTTAGCAAGACCCTGTCCTAAAATAAAAGGGCCAGGGATGGAGCTCAGTGACAGAGCTCTTGGCCCTTAGTTGCATCCCCACTACTGCAAAAAGGGAGGGAGGGAGGAGGGAAGGGAGGTGATTTTGCCTCAGTTCTGTAGGTCCAAGTTTGAGGGACCACGTCTGGTGATGGCCTTCTTGATGGCAGAGTCCCGAGGACTGGCCAAAGAAAGGGAGCACATGTGTGTCTGCCTGGTCTCTCTCACTCTTATAAAAGCACCAGGATTCAATCTCGGGACCTCACCTGCCCACCTTGTCTAATCCTAATCCCTTCCTAAGCCTCACCTAACACCATGGCCACATGAAGTCTTAGGGACACTCGCAAACAATATCCCAACGATAGTTCAGCGGCACTGATGGGAGTTTGATGCTAGTTCATACCACCCTAACGCACCTGGAGCATTCCGAAGGGGCGACACCCCAAACTGATGGCAGCAGTTCCCTCCGGGGAGTTGGGCTGAAGGGCAGCGCTGAGCCAGGGGACCTGACAGTCTCTGCAAGCATCGTGTTTACCAACTGACGATTTCACAAGTGGGAGTCACTTTTTAAAAAGTAGTCATAAAAAACTAAAGGACCGACCATTCCTCCAGGCTGTTTTCCTGGGCCCCTCCCCTTGCTCTCTGACCTTAGACCAGAGAAGCAGGGGCTCTGCTGTCTCCATTGTGAAGTTTGTCCTCTGGTTTGTTTTCTTGCCCTGGCCTGGCCGCCCCAGTCTGCAGCACGTGGAGGAGTCGCTGCACCACGTGGACGCCAGCTTCTTCCTGGGGAGGGTGTGCTTCCTCGGCACTGGTGGTAAGTGCGCCCCTCGCCTGCCACCCGCCCCGAGAGAGAGCGGGCAGTCAAGGGTCCTTGCCGGGGCAGCCCCGCTGATGACTTGAGGACTTGGCTGCTGTCAGTCTTTCTAACAGTGAATCTGAGCAGATAGTTCTGTGGCGCTCGCAGCTGCCTGCTGGCTTCCTGCAGCTTTCAGAGTGAAATCCAGACTCCTCTAAAGTCACAAAGTATTTTGCAGTTTGGCCTCTGCCTTGTGGAGTGTCACCTCCTATTACCCTCATTCTCTGAAAAAGTCCTGCTGTTGCTGAGACGTTGCGATATTAACAGTGCAAATGGTCATAGCTGACCTTTATCGGGCTCTTCCCAGGCCCAAGACTGTTGTAGGTGCTTAGTTTCTTATCATTAATCTTTGAGCATTAAATGCAGTATTATCTGTTTTATAACTAAGAAAACTGGCCACGCCCAAGGTCCTGTAGCACTGCGGTGGCAGAGCTGAGAGTCACGTGGGCGACAGTCCTAGTCAGGGCCCATCCCCTCTGGCTACGTCGGGGTTCTCTCAGGTGCTTTGTTCTCCTTGTCTTATTAGTCCCTACAGATACCTCAAAACTGAGTTCTGCCGTCCCCTCTGGCACCAGGGACATGTGTGACCTTGAACATTCTCAATAAGCTATGAAGAAGGAACCAGTTCCCCGGGGAGCCCTGGCTCGGGCCGCTGACTGCACCTGACAGGGCTCTCACTACGCTCATCTCATAAGTGGGAACCGCGTGTTAATAGAACGCTCTCTCCCAGCCCTTTGAGCTAATTTGATGGTGGAACAGGTTGTCACCCACTGACCGGTTCAGAACTGACACCCGAGGGCTGGTAGCGACCGTGCCCAGGTCTTGCTGGGCACCGCCTTAGTGCTCTCTGCTTCTTTGCAGCTGGGCAGGAGCACCACTGCATCCTTCACCGGAACACGGTCCTGAAGCTGGCCCACACCTACCGCAGCCCCCTGTTCTTCTGTGACCTGGAGGTGAGGACACTTTCCACAGTGGCCAGCGTTACACTTGGTTGCGGGGAAGGGGCTGTCAGGACTGCTTATTGCAGGATCAAGTACCAGGTGAGGTGGCCCCTGAGTGTAGGGGGACATGAGTCCTGCCTTTTCTGCTCACTGGCGTGACCTCTAGGTACAGTGTAAAATGGGTTGAATGCCGTCTCTGTGGCTTGTAGCCAGGCTTTCCCTCTTCTTAGTTTCTCTGTACTTGTCTTGTTTGTGGATTTGTGGGTCCTCATTAATATCTCGCTCTTCTGCTAATGAGAGCAGGTGCCAGATTGCTCCTTAACCACTGCATGCTTCTTGACCGTCACAATGCCCAGTGTCACCCTTGTCTCCCCTGATTGCAGACCCTGTCCAGTCCCAGTAAAGGCAGGGCACCAGCAGGCTGCAGCAGGTTTGCAGAGTGGGGGGGGGGTGGCAGGAGGGTCCATGTGGTATCGGCTTGCTTCCAATGGGTCTCTCGCAGGAGATCCCAAGTGCGGGGAGCAAGCCGCATTTCCCCTTCACTGATACATTTGCCCTTCAGCCTCTCTCGCGAGTGTGGAGTCGGTGTGCTCCCTCTGCTGGGTGTGTGTAGGGCCAGCAGGGCCTGCACTGCACCCGGCCCATGCGCCAAGACTGTTCTGTTGCTTGGGGATCTCTTCCTGAGATTTGAGGTTCATTATGAAGATTCGTGTTTTTTCTGTGTTCCTGGGCTGACACTTTTGGATGGGATGCAGAGAGAACCGAGTGCTCAAGCACCTTCCCCAGCATCTGGCCCAGGGGTCTGCAAACCCCTCTGCTTTGGTGGCAGAATTCAGGTGATCTGGGAACTTGGAGAGAGGGGCAAAGCTTCTTTTTCCCTCTGCTGACTTCTGAGTGAAATCGAGCCCCGTGGATGTAGGGAAGAGCGTGAGTAGGAGTAGCAAAGTCTGTGACAACCAGTAGACGCGGGAGTGGGCAGACCTAGCTGTTGGGCCTGCCCCTGCTCCGCCTAGACCAGTGCAGTGGCAAGGGTACATACTCCTCTCTCACAAACTTGGTTTTCCTGTTTGACAACTATTTTTAGGACCCTGACTAGATCAAGGCTCTGATCTCACAGATGGGACCATGGCCCCTGCACACCTGCAGCGTCTCCCCTGCAGACTTCCCTCCCAGCAAAGCTCTGAGGAAACTGAGACTGAGAACAGGCTCCTGCTCTCAGGCACAGAGCCGGGAAGTTGGCACGCCAGTTAGCACACAGCTGTCCCTGTCATAAGCTGCTGTTGTGACTTGGAACCAGTCGCCTCCCGCAGGGGGCCTCAGTTTTCTTACCTCCGTTGAGGAAGCACCTTTGACCCACTGCTCACCACACGGATGCCCTGGGTCCGCCAGCCTCCAGGCAGGTGCAGTTCTGAGTGTGGCCATGAGATGGCAGGCCACACCAGGTCTCTTCTAGCCTGAAACCAGCTGTGGCTGACTGGGTAGGAAGCAGAGGCCCCAGCCGTTTCCAGTCAGCAAGGGGGTGCAGAAGTGCCACAGACCGTCCTTCAGATGAAGCCGCAGTTTGGTCAGGCGCCTCTCCACACGCCCCTGCTGTCCTTTGGAGCGCACACTTCCCATACCGGGTCCCTCGTCACAGTGTGAGGCGTGGCAGGGATTCCCAGCCCTTAAAGAGGAGGAAGCACCCAGAGGAGTGTGATTTGCCCAGTAGAACAAATGCCCAGGTCTGCTGGTCAGGCCTGTGTGGGTGCCTAACGCAGACCGTGGTCCTGCCCTCTTGATGTAGTAAGATGAAGATTCGCTGGGTTTTTGAAGCCTGGTGTAGAATTAAGTCATTTTTTCCTGTACGTCATGGGCAAAGTTGTGACTGTGGTCAGACTTTGGGTCCTTGTCTCGGTGTGATGTGTGGGTGAGAGGAGGCAGCTATGGAGCCAAGCTAGTGATGGATTTGGGGGCAAAGACCACAGAACGTAGAGCAGGAGGATTTATTCCACAAATCCTTCTCGTGTATACTGCTCTAGGCCCCAGGGATGCAACATAGAACAAAATAGTAAAGAGTCCCAGGACATGGGCTGGGGCTCTAGCTCAGTTGGTAGAGTGCGTGCCTCGGCTACTCCGGAGCCTGAGGCAAGAGGATGACTTGAGCCAGGTTTTTGAGACCAGCCTGGGCAGCATATCAAGACCATGTCTCAAAAAATCCTGACTCTGTTCTAGTCAAGAAAGCGGAAATGGTAAAGGGCTGGGCGTGGTGGCACACCTGTAATCCTAGTGACTCAGGAGGCAAGGCAAGAGGTTCTCAAGTTCAAATGAGAACCTGTCTCAAAATAAATAAAAAGGGCTGAAGATGTGGTGCAGTGGTAGAATACCTCTGGGTTCAATCCCTCGTACCCCCTACAAAAAAAAAATGTATGATTTTTAGAAATGGGGGTCTGATAGGCCAGGTGGAGGTAAAGGGGCAAGATTTAGACAGAGCAACCAGCAAGGCCTCACTGCAAATGTGACTTTCAGATAGAGACTTGAAGAAAGTGAGAGGGTAGCTGTGGTGTTACCCAGTACACGAGCAACATCCGGAGCTCGCCCCCTGTGTCCAGAGTCAGCAGGGGAGGCCAGGGTGCTACAGGTGAGAAGCAAAGGCAGGGCCGAGGGGGATAAGTCAGAGTAATGGTGGGACCAGGTCAGTGAGGCCTTGTGGTCACCATAAAGACCTATGGCTTCTGCTCTGAGTGAAACCAGGGCCACTGGGGTCCGGGAGGAATGCAGCCTGGCTTGTGTTTTGCATGGGCCCCTCTGAGGGCTAGGAGGAGGCACGGAGGAAGACAAGAACAGAAATGGGGAATTGGGTCCAGAGCCTCTTTCTGGAAGAGGTCAGAGTGGCCTGGCCAGGAGAGGTGCACACCTGTAGTCTCAGTGACTCTGGGAGGCTGAGGCAGGTGAATTGCAAGTTCAAGGCCAGCCTGGGCAACTTAACAAGACCCTGTCTCAAAATAAAAAATAAAAAGGTCTGGGGGTGTGGCTCCGTGGTAGAGCACCTCTGGGTTCGATCCCGAGTAACACACACACACACACACACACACACACACACACACACACTCTGGCCTGGACGTACTGGTAGCTAGGGGAGAGGAGGACAGGATGGAACATGACTGGCTGTTTCCAGAGAGCAGGTGACAAGAATGTGCTCGTAACCAGATGTGAGGGAAGGTGAGTGGAAGGACGGCTCTGAAACCCGTGGCCTGACCGCTGGAGGGTGGCTCTGCCTTTGACTGCGATGGGCGAGACTGCAGGAGCAGGGCTTGGGGCCACCAGGGCCACTGCTGTGGACATGAGCCATCCAGGGGGAGAAGTCCAATCACTGCACACATGCATGTGACACTTAAAGATCCAGAGATGTAACTTGTGTATCCTCAGAAATTGGGTGTTTTTTTGTTGTTAATTTTTTTTTTTAGTTATACATGGGCACAATATTTTTGTTTTGTTTATTTATTTATTTTTATGTGGTGCTAGGATTGAACCCAGGGTCTCACACATGAGAGGCGAGCTCTCCACTGCTCAGCCCCGGCCCCAGATATTGGGTGGTTTTAAAGCCACAGAACCAGGTGAAGTCACTTAGGGATTGAGTGTGAGAGAAGGAAGCCAAGAACCAAGCCCCAGCTTCAGTGTTGGGCAAAGGGAAGGGAAGTGCGTGGACAGTAGGTGGGTGTGGGTGGGCACCATACCAACAGCAAGGTAGAAAGGCGTTTCAAGCAGGGCTGAGAGGCCCTGGCACCTTCTGGTAGCACCAGGGCAATGAGGGTAGAGAAGTTACCACTGGGTTTTGAGCCAAGATCGTGGGTGACAAATGGGGATTTGAGTTGGAGGAACTGAGGGAACTCGTCCTGAGTCTGCAGACAGGCCTGGCCAGCACCCCTTCCACTGGCCAGAGAGGCATTTCTGAGGCCAACTGTTGGCTAGGGGAGTCAGGGAGCATCATGATTTGTTCTTTATCAAACATTTACAGACGATCTTGTACTCGCCCAGCGTTCACCTGGAACCCGCTCAGCTGCCCTGGGCCCACCAGCCCTGCAGAAGCTACCCTGAGCTGCCCCTAAGTCTCGTCCCCCAGCTCTGCCTGCACAGCTGCCCCGAGTGAGGGAGTAGGGCCTGCGGCCGAGTCTCACTGCTGCTCTCCACTCCCTGCAGGTGGAAGACTTTCGAGCCACCATGGCGCAGCGTCTGGTGCGCATGCTGCTGATCTGTGCTGGCCACGTACGTGGTGTCTCAGCCCTGAATCTGCTGTCTCTGCTGAGGACCTCTGAGACCCCTCCACCAGAGGAGCTGTGACGGCCACTGGCCCCTGCTGTCCCTCCCCGCTTTGGGCTCCGTTAGCTGTCACTGTTGGTGAAGACACAGGCTGGGTTGGGCTCCCCATGCCCCAGCAGGGCACCGGGCAGGATGGGGAGGAAGCCCAGCTGCTGGGACTCCAGCCCCTCCAACGCCCACGCTCATCCTCTGAGGAGGTACATCTCCACTTAAGATTTCACTGGAACAAAGGGCCCTTGGCTAAAAAAAGTTTGAAGATCACTGGTCTCATCCACCACTTTGACTTTGCAAATGAGGAAAACTGACTCAGAACAATGAAGACATGATGTGGGAGGATAGCTTGGACGGCACATCCTGTGGCCTGCTACTCTTATGGAGCTTGGTTGTTGCTTCTGGGAGCCTCAGTTTCCCCAGCTATATATGGAGATGTTTGTGAAGGGGAGGTGCCTGAGACTGGGCCACACCCATACTTGTTGGCTTGATAGACCTCCTGAGACCTGGTGCTCTGCACAGGCCAGGCAAGGGCTCAGTGAGCAGTCCCTGTTATTTGAAATCACACAACTGAATTTAAAAATTGGTGCAAGGGGCTGGGGTTGTAGCTCAGTGCCTAATACACATGAGGCACTGGGTTCCATCCTCAGTGCCACATAAAAATAAATAAATAAAATAAAGTATTGTGTCCATCTACAACTAAAAAAGAAGGTTCAAATTTGCAAATTGAGAATTTGCCCCTGGGGCTGGGGATGTGGCTCAAGCGGTAGCGCGCTCGCCTGGCATGCGTGTGGCCTGGGTTCGATCCTCAGCACCATGTACAAACAAAGATGTTGTGTCCGCTGAAAACCAAAAAATAAATATTTTTTTAAAAAAAGAGAGAGAATTTGTCCCTAAGGTCAGAGGTTTATGAGAAATGAGAGTGGCCACCTGGAAGACTTTGGGCCTTCAGCAAGAGATTACGCAGTGGCAGTAACTCTCTGTCTCCCTCTAATCTAACTGGAAATTTGTGAAGTGCTAGGATTAGACTCCAGAAATCCTGTAGCCAGGTCAGGACTTCTGCTGCTGCAAGAAGTGGGACTGATGCACAGGATCTCAAGGACCGAGGGAGGTGCCTGGCGGGAGGCATCTTAGGGAGAGAGCTGGTCCTGAGCCCTCTGCACCCTCACCAGGCCTGGCCTCAGGCAGGTTCCTGCTGATGTCCTGCTTAGAGCCAGGCTCTGCCTTGTCACCAACGCAGCCATGGCCCGTGTTCTCCTGTGAAGAAGGGGCCAACTCAGAACTCCTCGTGAGTGTCCTGAGGGTGAGGCCTCCTTTCTGTAGGTACCTTCTAGAACTAGCCCAGGGCCCCACCCTAGTGCTAAGTAAGGTTTACACACCTGGCTGACTTCGTGCAGATGCAGCCCCTAGGGCCTGCTGAAGACTCAGCTGTGTAGATTCCGGTTGAGGCCCCGCATGTCACCTGACATTTGTGAGGCACTTCATGCTTCACAGAGCTCTTCTCAAGGCGGCCGCTCCTGTCACCCTCCCAGCAGACCCGAGGGGTTGCTGATGTTCTCTATTTCACAGTTGGTGGAAGGAGACCTATAATTGGAGGTGTGTCCGCTGTCACAGCCAATCAGCGGCAGAACCAGCCCGTGGTGCGTGGGTCCTCAGCTGTTCTGTGTGGCTAATCTTTGAGCAAAGGCATGGCATCTCTGCAGGAGGCCTGAGTGGGAAGCAGAGGCAGACCCGCCTGGCCTGAGAAAGAAGGCTGCAGGGCAGTCCCTAAACACTGCCTCAGGTGGAGCTAGGACCCCATTAACCCGGAGGGGAGCAGAGGGGACCCGCTAGGAAAAGGCAGGGCCCACCCCACAGGAGGGGGCCCGGTGGGGCTCCAGCAGGCCTCAGCCTGCTTCGAGGAAACCCTGGGTCACGTGGCCAGGGAGGCCAGCATCTGCTGGAGGGCAGTGGGCCCAGGTCTGCAGAAGAGGGAAGAGGGGGAGGTTTGTGTTGTCCCTGAAGGCAGAGGCCCTGAAGGGTCAGCCTTCGCAGAGGTCCCCAAGCATTGTCCCCAGCACCCACTGAATCCTGGGCCATAAAGGGCAGCTTTGCTGGGGCGGGGGCTTCCTCCAGGAGAGGAAGGCAGCGAGGGCTCTGGGGACTCTCCCGAGGTGTCACCTTTTGCTTAAGACAGGGAGGCCTTCCCTTCCCCTCCCCCAGCCAGCTCACCTCTCTCCCTCAGATCCGTGTGCCACATTTTCCTTGCCACCTGGTGCCATTTAACAAGCGAAGTGGCATTGCATTCTCCGGTGAGGGCTGGGAGCCTTCCAAGTGCTGGGGAACTCGACACTGTCACTGCTGCCAGCTCCCTGCAGAGCTTGGCAAGGCCCTGGACTGAGAGGCCGCTCTCGGGCTGGGGACTGGCCTGCCCCTGCCTCACGGCAGAGCTGAGTGACACATTTAAATGGCAGCAAGGTGTTCACAGACCAGCTGTCCCCAGAAGGCTGGGGACAAGTGGACAGGGAGTGGTTGCTTCACGGTCCAAAGGCTGTGGCATCGTCTGGAGGAATGTGACTGAGGGAAGGATCGGAGGCCCTGCCCCTGCCTGCCAGCGAGCCGGGAGTGTGTGGGGGGCTGCTGGGGTGGCTGCCTGCTGATGGCAGAGCCTCAGGCAGGTCACTCATCTATAGGATGAGGTCAGGCTAATGAGGGGTACCAGGGATTGAACCCAGAGGCACTTGACCACTGGCCACACCCCCAGCCCTATTTTGTATTTTATTAGAGACAGGGTCTCACTGAGTTGCTTAGGGCCTCTCTAAGTTGCTGAGGCTGGCTTTGAACTCGTGATCCTCCTATCTCAGCCTCCCTAGCCGCTGGGAATTCGGCGTGTGCCACTGCACCCAGCCTGGGAGGCAGTGTTAGAGGGTAGACCAGGACCATAGGCACAGGTCTGAGTGGGCAGCCTGAAGATCCCTCAGATGTCCTTCATCTGGGTCTGGGAGCTGCATGCTCCCTGCTTTCCAACACAAGGAAGGTGGGGCCTGAGCTCCTGCTGTCTGGACGAGGTGTCTGAGATTCAGGGGGCAGGGCTGGCTTAAAGCCACAGGCTCATTTGTTCTGCTGGGCAACCCTTGGCCCACCCTACCAGAGCTCACTTTCTCTGCAAGAGGTGGCCCCGACCCAAAAGTTCTGGCCTGAGCCAGGCACAGTGGCACCTGCATGTAATCCCAGTCACTCTGGAGGCTGGGGCAGGAGGATCGGAAGTACAAAGCCAGACTCAGCAACGGAATAAGGTCCTAAGTAACAGTGAGACCCTGTCTCAAAAGAAAAAATCAAAAGGCTGGGGATGTGGCTCAGCGGTAACGCACTGTTGGGTTCATCTCTGGTTAAAAAAAGAAAGAATTCTGGCCCGGTGTCCCCAGTCTGCTGGTATGCCCCACTTTGCCAAGGACGCAAGGCCTTCCCAGCAAGGGCAGGCTCCACAGCATGGCCCCGTGCGTCCTTCACCCCTGGGTGGGCAGAGGCTGGGCAAGCTGGCCACAAAGGAAGTGGTGCGGTGGGAAAGGGCTGGGCCTGTGGGTCCCACCACAGGCTCTGTGACCAGCTTGCAGCGTGACCTGGGGCAGTGAATTCCCACTGCCTGCTCTCCTCTTGAGGACCTCGGAGGCAGAGACGCCAGAGCCTACCCTGTGCTTGTCCCTTTGTTCACCCTCCCTGGAGGCTGGCTTGTTATCCAGGGGAACAAGGGACAAGGTGAGCTTTGCAGGTCCCTGTCCCGGCCTGCTAGCGGGCTCCCATACACAGGGCCCTTGTCCAGAAGCACTCGCTGGCTCAGTCCTCCGTCCCTCCAGTCTCCCAGGGCCGGAAGGATACTGGCCATTATGAGAGGACTTCTCAAGACACTTGGGCTGAAAGAGAACGTGGTGGCCAGGCCCTACACACCTCTGAGGGCTCTGCTTGAGATGGTTCCATGGACTGGGGGCTGCTGAGGACAAGCTCCAGAAACGAGTCTGGGGGTGGTCCCCAGTCCCCTGGACCTGGGCAGAAGCAGCCTTCCTTGAGACCACCCTCACATCAGGAGAGAGCCAAAGGCACTTGGGAGTCCCGGGGGGAGGTCAGTGTTCAGAGGAGTCCCACACTTGACCCTGCTCTGAGACCAGCCTCCCTGGGAGGCAAGACGGGCTCCTCAGGGCTGGACTGACCCCCACCCTCTGCTCCCCGTGGGGTCCTCAGATGACAGGCCCCCACTGGCATGTGCAGGAGCTCGGCCTGCCCGGCCTGGCCCTTTCTTCTCTAGCTGTTGCAAGGTAGGGACGGCCGTTCCTCTCCCCCACAGGGTGGCTGGAGGAGTGGGTCCCGAGCAGCTTGGACCAGGTGGTAGGGCTGCATGTGTCCCTGGTCACTGTGGGGTGCTACTGCTCCCCAGATGGTCCTGGGGCACACTCATCTCCAACAAGGTTGCCCTCTCACCAGGCCTTCTGCAGCTCCCCTTGGTGAAGAGTGCACCCCAATCCCCTGGCACCCTCCCATCTGAGTTTTTCTCCCCAGTGATCCTCCCCTGTCCTCCCGTGGTGGGGGATACTGGAGACTGAACCCAGGGGTGCTTTACCACTGAGCCACATCCCCAGCCCTTTTGATTTTTCACCCTGCTTCTCGCCCTTGCTTCTCATCCCTTACCTACTATACTGCTTCCCTGCCTGGGCTTGGCTCTGGGGTTCCCTGCTGCTGCCCCAGAACCTGGAACAGCGCCTGGTATATAGTAGGTGCTAGTAAGTACATAGTAGGTGTTAGCATTTGGTGGATACGAGAGACCCGCACATGGTCTTGGCCTGGGTATTCACAGAGGGTCAGAAGCCTGCAGGAGGCCCAGAGCCCTGCAGCTCCTGGTCCCTGCTGTGTGGTGCCAAGAGAAGCCCGAAGGGGAACCCCTAGGAGGTTCCTGCTCCTCCCCTCCCAGCCTCCCACCTCGGCCTCACACAGGTGGGCTGGCCCCAGGAAGTGGGGACTCCACTCCCTGTGGCTGGGACACTGAGGGGCTGTGGTCGCCTGTCTGACCTCAAATGGAGGCCCCCTGTCCCCAACCCATGCTAGAGAATGACTGGGCTGGCCAGGCGGGAACCTGTGGTGTGCTGATGTGTGCCTACGGGGAGAGGAGAGGGCTGGGTTTGAGGCCGAGAGCTGGGCTGAGAGGACCCGGGCAGGGTTCCCTACTGCTCTGTGGAGAGTGTGACTGGCCTCCGCCCTGCTCTGGTTCAGCGGGGACAGAGTTCCAGCCTCCCTGGTCGCCACGGCATCCTGCTGCTCAGCCTTGCCAGATGTATGAGTCCCATGGCTCTTGCCCACCCCACCCATGTCCAGAGGCCCAACCCTGCTGTCCCCGCTGAGGGGGCTTCCCAGCAGCAGCCCTTTTTGTTGGGGCGGCCAAAGAAATTCCCAGGATGGAGATCCAGGTGCTCACAAAATGAGGGGAGCCGAGAGCGGACCTAGCCCCCGGGACCTGCCCCGCCAAGGGCGACGGGAGGCCAGCCGGGCAGTCACACCGTGTGGCCCAAGTGTGAAACACCAAGAATCCTGTGTCAACCTGCGTGATGCACCTATGGGATGTGAAGTCCCAAACAGTCCAGAAAGAGAGGCTGTGGGGTGCAGAGGCTGCCCCTGGGGAACCTAGGGAAATGCCCGCTTCCTGCTCCGAGACTTGGGTGGGTCTGGGGGCCTGTCCGTGGGAGCGTGTTCAGGCATCGCCGGCACAATGGCGGCTAGAACTAATCTTGAAGTTCAGAGTGACTCCAGGTCTCAGAGCAGTTTCACATACAGTGCTGGGGGCTGGGCACCTCTGCCCCCAGGGACTGCTCCCCTACACCTCTGGGCCTGTCCCAC